AAACTGAAGGTTTGTGTTGCCTTACAACAGACCTAGGCATTGGACAGCCTGAATTTTTCTTTAACAATTCTAATGCCAAATACAAATGTACTGTGATTTAAAAAAAAAACATAAAACATGTTTTAAGAAAAATAATAACATCACATCACATAACAAGTTAGTTTTATTTTTTATACCTTTTATTTTTATGTTGGAAAACCATTTCCCCAGTCCGATAAATCCACCTGTATTTTTATTTGTATATCAGCTTCTTCATCTCCTTTATGTCCTCTAGTATTGGCAGCAATTGTTTTAAGTCAGTTCTTCGTGATAAAACCCAAGCTTGTTTTTAACCAATAACCAAGTTCTGTTTTTACTAAAATTAGTATTTTAAACTCCTATTGTGGAATGTTGGTATGGAATGTTTGGCTTTTAGTTGCAGCAATGTCATATGATTTATTTATATTATCATTATACTTCTGCCTTTATCCTGCAATACCCATGTTTCCCCAATAGATGGCGTAAAATGCCTTTATGTATGACTTTTTCGTGTCATTTATCTTAGTTCACAAGAACGCTCCATCTATCTGCTCCTGACCGGCCCCCCCTGTTCAATTTTAGGACAATTGTGGACCACGAGTCAAACAGTTTACCCACGCCTGGTTTATCACAATAACCCAAAGCTGGAGAACATATTTAAATAGACTTTAAATTACGAGATATTACTAAAATATTACAATTAAAATCACAGAGCATCTAAATGGCCCTGGGCTACTTGTGCATATTACCAATGAGTCTTTACCTACAACCTCATCCTCTGGCTGGCACAGAGAGACCTTTGAGCCCACTGCAGAAAAAGCATACACACAAATGATTAAAAACCCACATTCTTACCCCACCGTGCACAGGCTACTTATTAATAATCATATTTCTTACGACCTTGCAAGACCACTCCGGCCACCTCTCTTCCTACAGGAATCAAATCTCTCTGCAGTCCAATGTCGCTGAGCAGCTACAGTTTGGGAAAGAGCAGCAAATGAAATTAAACAAAAGAAATGTAATGGTCCCAACATTAACAATGTTATAAACCAGGGGTGTCAAACTCAAATTCACAGTGGGCCAAAATTAAAAACTGGAATGAAGTCTTGGGCCAAACTTAATATTTATTGAAAAATTGACAGCAACCATGCATGTTTTCCTTTTCTCCCGATATGTAATGGGTTTTTTTTCATATGGAAACAAACTTTAGTTTTGCATAAACATTGAATCTGGAAAAACCAAAGCTTAATATTATAAACACGAGAAATTAAATTTGAAACAACTTTATCCGTAGCCTTTCGAGTTCCTTTCGAGTTTCGAGAACAACAACAACAAAAAAACAGAAAGTATGTGCTATAAGTGCATACACGGCTAATACTACAAAGTATATAGGGGCTATATATTGGCGGGCCAACTCTAGCACACATTTAATATGATCTCGTGGGCCAAATAAAATTACACTGCGGGCCAGATTTGGCCCCCGGGCCTGAGTTTGACACATTTGACAAATTTCCTTTCTAATTTAGGACTATGCTCCGTATAAACAGTTTAGTACCAATTAATATTGCGAGCAGTTAGGTATTTAAAAAAAAAAAGAGAAAGAACAGTTATGATTATTACACACAAGTCCTTACCTTAAAGTCTAGGGGACTGAGTCCACAGGCCTTCACCTGAACTCTGACCTGATGTCTTCCCAGGACATCTGAAAGAGTCTGGAGGGAAACATGATGTCACTAATGAAGCAGGGAAACACCTCAGAAAATGATCTTCTTATCACTCAAACACAGTCCAGTCAGACGGGCCAACATAAGTCTGGTCAAACATGATGCAAAAAAACAAAACAAAACAATATCGCACCATTTATCGTATTTTGTCTCCACTCTAAGGTCAAAGACAAATGATACCTTTTAATTTCTTAATGTAGCTACGCGAAAAACACATAGCTCGGGGGCTCTAGCTTACATATATTTGTAGCTTATTAATGTACAGCACTTCTATTTATCTGTAGTTCTAATGCAAGATCCCAGCCAGGGCTAACAGCCTGATATTTTCAAACAAGTCTCACCGTTTCCTGGATGACAAATTTGGGTTCAGCATCGCTCACAGCAGCTCTGCAGTACAGACCCTTCATCCTCTTTCACCGACAAATGACCTCAAACTGATTTAATCAAGCATCTAATAATAACGCTAATATAGTATCTTCTTCCGAAAACCATAAAACCGCTGCACACAGCAGCTGACCTTTTTTTCGGCTTTTAAAATGTTGGCTTTTAGATAAACAAGTGACCATATCTCCCCCTATTGGAGTGGCTGACCTACAACCAAGGTCGGTTTATTATTATTATTTTTAATAATAATAATAATTATATTATATTAATTATATTTATATGTGAATATATTTATGTTTTTATAACTTCTCTATTAACTGTCAATATACCTTTTTCATATCATTTTAGTTTAGGGCCAGTCATTGAAGAATTGTAGAGAATGAAGAACAGTAGAGTCATGAATAACATTTGGCATAGAATGTGCAAAAACAAACATGCCACTCTATAGAATGACACCTATACCAAATGGTTCTCAACCCAGATGGGCAACAACTACCTCCAGTGCTGTAAACCAACAGGAGGTCCAGGACAGATAAAGATGTGTTAGGAAGCAGCTAAAGAACAGCCAGGCAGAGGTGTGATGTATGTGTTGAAGTAGTGACAGAGGCATAGAAGCAGAGATTGTTTTGTCCTATAGAACTTCAAAACATAAAAAGTAAATGTGGTAAATATATATGACCACATTTTTTTACTATCTACATATAACGTATTCTTGTGTAATGGCAGCATCAATATAACGTGTTTTGTGTTTATTTTATTTAATAAAATAATTTTATTCTAGTTTTTTCCCCTGATTTTTTTTTTAAACGTCCGACAGGGGAAGTGCCCCCGACGTTCCTTTGACAAGCATGGCTATAAGTTGTCGCGAGAATATACGTAAATATCGTTAGGAGTTCTCTGACATCTCGCGATACATTATTTGCGTTACCCCATTTTCCAACTGTCCCTCTGTCGGTCGGAATTTCAGAACCATTGGAGCCGCCGGAAAGGGCTTTGGGGATTACAGCTCATAATAAAAGAACCTTACGTATTTATAGTGTATATTTATATAAACAGACAAAGAACCACTTTAACCAGTATTTCATCATGGAGGCTTAACTATGAGGTAAGCGCTGAATGCAGGATGTGTCATGTGAAAGACGCTAGCTTGTGGATGCTTAGCTTGCCTGCTAGCTTTTTTAAATGCATAAATAACCGCGACTGGTCCTATTTTTACTAGGCGCACCCTCCTAATGTTGCTTCCACTAAAGCGTAGTGTTTTAGGGAAATGTCTTTAACATCTCTGCGTATCAGAACAAAAACGGCAACTGTAAGATGTAAAAAGCAGTTTCCACAAGCCTTGGAGGATAGTAGTAAATCACTGCCTCTGCACTGCGAGGCTGTGACCTAAGGCTGACTGCTGTCTAACCAGATCAAGGTTGTCAGTAGTATTGTAGAAGGTAATATTTTATGAACTAGAGGTTTTCTTAGTTCACCCAGTCGCCGTAGTATTTCCCTGGTTACTACACACTCCATGACAGTCGAAGTGGTCCGTCCGTTGCCCGACCTATCACATCAAGACGCCCTTCGAGTAGCGCATCACCTGACGTTAAATCACCCCAAACACTTAAATGATAGAGTTGTTGTTGACATAATACAGGAAAGACCTTTTTATAGTGAGACCTTTCTTTAATAAGATGATTTCAGTGTTATCCGATATGAGGTCAGGTGTACTCCAGCATCTTGGGTAGTCAAACTTTTAAAATGCAACCTATTTGCTAGAATGTCACATGACACTGGTGGAAACGCCACATAAATGTGTTGTTTGGGGGTTATGTCTCTTTTGTCCATAGTGACAGCAACTGTTTTGCCAAAATATGCTTGATTATTTATTGTCTTTTTAGGGGTATGAGACTAGCTTTTCACAGGGACCATGTACAATCCCTGAAACAATCTCTATATGATGGATTGGTTATTAGTTAATGATGTTTATGGCATACTTGTGTGTGGAGAGAGAAATATTATCTGTACAAGTAGATGTAGATGGAGTAGATGGAGATCATTTTAATTCATCGAAACTTTCACTGGAGTAGATGGAGATCATTTTAATTCAGCACTATTAGTAAACAAATAAAGATCGATGCAGATGTAACAAAGCTGATGTGTCATGCCGTCAATGTAAAGCTAACTACAAAATATATTATTTTTCAAAATAATAATGCATTCTTGCAAGACATTTTGTTACCAATTGCAGATGCTCTCGCAAAATTAGCTGTCTAATGGTTAATCTGACAATATTTCATGATTACAAGTATATACATACAAGATCTACACAAAAGGGCGTGCCTGGGTTTCATAAGTCATATGGTTGTGAGCTGTCACTATGATGATGCAAGAGCCAAATGACAGTTTCCCAAAACGCACCAGAAGCCTTGGACATGGATGCAGTGATACACAGACAGCACATAATGTTTATTGTTTTTTGATACAGTGTCAATTTTCACAACAAAATGATGATTACATGAATTTACGAAAAACCCTGAAAACAATATAGTGCAAGAAAATAGGTAAATTAATGAATGGATGGATGAATGGATAAGGACATTGTGAGTTCCAATGATGACAAAGTAGTGTCAAAAGTGCATTTATTATGTAGCCAGTATATTTACACTTGACCTCGTCAGGTCATTGGTATTACTGCATGTGCATCAGAAAGACCTTTTGTAATCCATTATTTCAGATTATGAGGCTAAAATTTGGAGAGAAAAAAAATACTAAATCCTTCTTAGTTAATGGAGCATAAGTGTTGGACCTCTCTGGTACTTGATTTGTTATCTGCCTGTAGTGGTGCTTTTTCACTGCTCATAATACATTAATTGATTGAGTCGCAGTATACGTGCATGCGCGAGTAAGTTGTGCCTAAAATGCATTAATAGACTGTGTTTGTCTGGCTTTTAGAAAATTGATAAGATAAGATAAGACTTTATCCATCCCACACTGGGGAAATTGACTTGTTACAGTAGCAGGGTAGACATGTAGTACTAAAAGTAAAGTAACAGCAGGGTAGACAGTATTTACAAGGTGATAAAAAAGTAACAGCAGGGTAGACAGTGTTTACAGGGTGACAAATATCAAAAATTAAAGTGACCTGCAGGGAAAATAGAGTGACTAAGTTAGTAGTGGTGTACGTGGAACAAAATAAAAATACAAACAACATGCAGTGCAGCTGTGTAATATGTTGGATTGTAATATGTAGAAAGACCAGAAAAGTATTATTGTTGTGCATTAAACAGTCTGATGGCTGATGGGAGGAAAGGCTTCTGAAAGTGTTCAGTTCTGCAATGTAATGTAATGTACAACTGTAGGGTAAATTTAATGTAAAATGTCTGACAGGTTTGTGTGTATTAAGTATGGCTGTAGGGAGAGCAGAGCCAGATGATTTTTTTTTTTTTTTTTTTGTAGCCTTTTAAACAGGCTGAAGTAGTTTCTTCTTCAACCTTGATCTTAAATGCTACACCAATCTTATGTGAATGTCATATTTAAAACCAGGTTGGTCACGTAGGGCTTTGTATCAAGATACAGTCACAAGGACATTTGCAATACAGCCTTTTAGCTGCTATTGTAAATAGTAGCATTAATATATATATATATTAAATATATGTATTATAAATACATTTATTTAATATTATATCATATTATATATAAATTGGATTCACAAGCCCATTCAAGGTATGTTGTTATTCATCAGAAGTGAGTAATTAAGTCCTATCCTTATCATGAATTCTGCAGATAATAACTGAATCTCTCTCATAATCTACAGTACATAATTAGCTTGTGATTTTAGATCATTAGGTTTATTGGGTTCAAATACCGTAGCTGCTGAGACACGTCAAAACACTCACAATAGATGTTGTTCCTGTTAGTGTTTCTTTCCTTTTTTTGTCCCCTTACTCTAAAGTCAGAGGTGGAAAGTAACAAATTACATTTGTTCACGTTACTGTAATTGAGTAGTAGAATTATAAAATGATTTTGTGGACACACTTACGCCATATTTCGGCCAGCTCTTTGTTTCAAATGCAAACGAGTCAGTAACTTTATCATGTAATGCAAATTGCGTGTGCCCTGGCAAACAAAGCTGTCGCATGTGGCGGTTAGTAGAGTATCTGCGCTTTTGCTTGTGTATTCCAAGCTTTGTGCTTATTGTTTAGTTAACACATTGCTCCGTTAATCAAAATTTGCCTTCATGATATTGATCATTTTTACTAAGCTTAGCATCCCTCCTGATAGCTAACGTTTCAGTGACGTAGAGCAGTACCGGAGAACAGTCAGAAATAACATTAAGTAACACAAGTGCATGATTTTAATAGCAATTGGTCTGTAATGAAATGGACAGTGATAACCCATCATAATTACAGCTGGATTGGTCAGGAAAACTTGGGGGCCCTTTGAGAATTTGTACTAAATGTGACATTGAAATTGTAAAAGGATATTATGATGGTATTAAATATGAAAGGAGGCACCTCCATACGCAGGTAGTTGCACTCAACAGCATCCACAATTCGAAGTTGACACAGAGTATTTGTGTTTGAATTGAAGTAATTTAAAGTAACTAAGTAACTTTTACTTAAAGTAAATTGTACTCGACTAGATTTTTAGGTGTGTACCTTTGCTTTAGTACAATAGATACTTTTATAGTACTTTTTCCATCTCTGCTAAAAACACACAAACACACCCTCTCTAAGGCATTCTTCCACCCTTTGCCTTTTTCTTTTCTACTTTCTTATCACCCTACCTCTTTATGTACACTTAATGAGTTTTACTGTTTCAGTCAAACAGTAAAACGTCACACTTAAGAAAACGTTTGTAGTGACTCACACGGGTGAGTCACTACAAACACTCCCAGTGTTGCCTCCTTATTTTTTGCTAAGTATGCACAACTCTCGTTGTCTTGTGTCAGTGTCTAACATGAGGGCAGACCTGGATCTGATTAACGCACTGAACCACAGGTACAATATGTCACTCACTCATACACGTACTGCGTTTTCATCAAGTTGAAGAGCCCACTACAGTACAGTGTGTAGTGACAAATGTTGATGGAAAGGTGTTGGCTTTGGTGGTGATACAAATGTAAACAGAGTGTCATGTGACTATATATTCATGCATGCTGTACCAATACGTAATT